TTTTCTTAAATTATACAACCTTTTTGTTACACATCAACAGTGTGGTAGTTCATTTTATGCTATCTTTTGAGGTGGAATTTTTGTATTTATATTATTAAGACAGCAGAATCTTTAGCCTTCTCTTTCTATGAGAAACTAGAAGGTGTGCAAATTATTTCGGCTTAGAGTATCCATGAAAAGAAATCTAACCCTCAAACACAATTAGAATTAGGCTCTTTCTTTATATTGCCTTAATCATCACTTAAAATTAGAAAACACATCATTTGATTCTGTAACTCCGTTTATAGGAATTTGTCTTGAAGAAATCAAATATGCATGCAAAAATAGACTTTAAAATGTGTAGCACAGCATTATCTGAAAACACTTTTAGGGTCAAATCTGGCAAACAGAATAAGGTAACACTGGACTTTTGAGATCCTTTGCTTTCTGTACAGTAAGAAACCGTGACTCCAACGCCAACCACCCACCATGGCTTCTGTACTGGCTTCTCACCTCTGTCTCCCCCGCTGCTGTGCTGCCTCGGTGGCCCTCATTCCACTCCAGCCTTCACCACCATTGCGGGTCTACACTCACTTGGTTCCCACAGACCCAGAACACTCTGTCCCTCTCTTTACAAGCAATGTACTATGGATCCCATGGAGATTTTTACAGCAGCAACAATAAAACACATGCAATAAGACAATAAAATGTAAAGGAGGACCCAGATGGTAGGAAACTAAGCCACACATATATTATTTAGTGTAGGGAAGGCAAAACAAAGATGTGTGGTTGGTTACAAAGTCCTCATTTTCTAAGAATATGAGTCTTACTGATGTTCCAAGGAGCACATCCTTGTTCTTGACTCTAGGGTGAATATGTCCCTGGGAGTCTCGTGTGGGGATAGCTGAATAGATTCCGCCCTTAGGCCCATCATGGGCGGGTGCCCTTCCTTGTAGAGAGACTTCCTTGATGAAAAACAGTAGCATAATTCCAAGTGTCTGTTTCTATTTGCAGAGCTCTTTGATAGATGCCAAAAAGAAACATCAAGTATCAGTTTTAGATCAGGTGTTGCTGGATGCTGGTACAGTAAAGTAGGATTTCCACTAGATTGTATATCTCAGCAATATAAAATATATTGTTAAATTTGTAATTAAAAATAAAGTGGGAGGCTGGGGATGTGGCTCCCGGATAGAGCGCTTGCTCAGCCCGCATGAGGCCCTGGGTTCCATCCCAGCACCACAGTAAGCAAGTAAACAATTAAATAAGTAAGACCACCCACACTCTGCCAGTTATGGCTACTTTCCTTCCTCTTGCCCTACATCCTTACCTCCCCTCCTGCCACCTCTCCTTTATAGATAGATAGATAGATGATAGATAGATGATAGATAGATGATAGATAGATAGATGATAGATAGATAGATGATAGATAGATGATAGATAGATAGATGATAGATAGATGATAGATAGATAGATGATAGATAGATAAGTGGCAACTCGATTTCCCAAGGAATGAAATTGTCCCTAACAGTAGGCAGGGACATTCTCCATAGTTTTCTATCAGACCTGATAGATAAATGATGATGTACCTTCCCAGTGCCTTCCTCCTCACCCTCCCTCCCTTCTCCCCAGGCTGACTCCGGACAGGGCTCGCCTCTCCACGGACCCGAGCAACCACACCATGGTGAAGGAGTTCGTCTTCTCGGAACTTACTCACTTCCAGGAGCTGGAGCTCTGCTGTTTGTGTTCTTCCTTGCTGTGTCTGTGACAACTGTGCTGGGAAATGCTCTCCCTGGTCACCATCACCTGCGAGTCCCGCCTCCACACCCCCATGCACTTTCTCCTGGGAAACAAACCAGACCTGGACATTGTCTTTCAACCTGTTACGGTCCCCAAGTTCCCGGTGGATCTTCTGTCAAAGAGGAAAGCCATCTCCTACAACGGCTGCACGGTACAGATCTTTTTCTTCCACTTTGCTGGTGGGGCAGATACTTTTTTCCTCTCTGTGGTGGCCTTTGACAGATACCTTTGCAATCGCCAAACCCCTGCACTATGTGATCATCACGAGGAGAGGCTTGTGGGTGGTGTTGGTGGTGGCTTCCTGGGTGGGTGAAGGTTTCCATTCAATTGTCCAGATAATTCTCATGCTTCCGCTCCCCTTCTGCAGCCCCAGTGTCCTGGATGCCTTTTACTGCCACATGCCCCAGGTGGGGAGACCGGCCTACATGCACACTTACGCTCCGGAGCTTCTTCTGATCTCTAACAATGGACTGGTGACCTTGCTGTGGTTCTTCCTGCTGCTGGGCTCCTACACTGCCATTCTGGTGATGCTCAGGTCCCACTCCGGAGA